CCAGAACCATCGGTCCTGTTGTTTTCTCCTCCAGACTATTCATCCAGCCTATCTTATCTATATAGACCTGCAGAGATAATAATATGTACACAAAAAACAAGGCATAGCAAGACAAAGCGACAAAAGCGAACACGAAGACGACAACAACAAAGAAAACAATGACTAAATAATTAATTTTTTACAATTAAAAAAAAGAAAAGCCTGTAAATAAATCAAGGTCTATTTGTTGACTTCTAGGAGTGTCCTCCAGTCGCATCCGATGGGGTACCACATTCTGGCCCCAAAGTCTAATCTTGGCACTCCCTCAGGAGCTCCCTGCTGCTGTGCCACACGCCCTTAGTGTTTTGCCTTGGTTTGATAGGGTCAGACCAGACCAATCCCAACACTGAGTCTCCAGTGGTGTCCCCGTAGGGCCATGGCTCAGCAAGGGACGTCGTGTCTCATAGTGGGATCAGCCATGTGGTCCACTCTGTGCATTTGCTATTCTGAGTGGGGATATCGTCCTCCAGGCTTGGTGGGCCAGGATATGCTCCACTCTCTCCATTCATTTACTCTTCCTCCCCATTCATCTACTCCCGTGTGCTCTGATCAGACATATCCCTCTGATGGAGCTACAGCTAGAGTGCTGTCCTCTGAGGTTAAATTATTCTGGGGGGAGGGGCTGATGCCTCATTTTAACCAATGCCTTCAATGCAGCTTGAGCTTCTTCTTTAAATTGCCATTAGTTTTTGATCATATGCTACCTTCTGGAATGGCTGAACACCAACCGATTCTTTTTGGCTTAGTGACTTCGTGTATTCCTTCCATCTCCCATTAATGCTTCCTGTGTTGCCCATAAAATCCTTCAGTATTACAACTTGAGGCTTAGTTTTTTTCTTTCAGCTTGAGGAATGTCAAGCATGTTCGTTCCTTGGTTTTCTAACTCTTGGTCTTTGCATCGTTCATAATAATACTTTGTGTTCTTGAGCTGCTCTTTGAAATCTTCTGTTCACCACTTTTACTGCATCATTAACTCCTTTCACGTTAGCTTTTATACATTCAATAACAAGTTTCAAGGTCTCTTGACATCCCTTGGGTCCTTTTTTTCTTGTCTTTTTAGTGATCTTGTGCTTCCTTCATGTATGATGTATAATTTGATATCTTCTCTCAATCTAATCTTCAGTCATTTTTTTCTACATCAAATGTATTCCATCTATGGTCTCTAAACTCAAGTGGGGTAAACTTAAGATCATATTTTGACTCTTGTAAACTTGTTTCTTCAGCTTCACCATGAATTTTCACATGACCAATTGATCTGTTCCACCGTTGACATCTTGCCTTATTCTGATAGTACTGAGCTTCTCCATTACATCTTTCCATAGATGTAGTCAATTTGATTCCTCTGTGTTCCACCCAGTGAAGTCCACATGAACCATCACCCCTTATAATTTGAAAGAAAGTATTTGCAATGTATAAATCGTTGATCTTGCAAGCAACATGCATTGTCCAGCGCCAAGTTTTACCACCAAGTTTTACCGCCAAGTTAGTAATTTCTAACTACTGGTTCTTCTGTTTCCAGCTTTCGTATTTCACTCCAGTAATTATCAGTGCGCCTGGATTGCATGTTTTATCAATTTCATACTACAGAAGTTGGTAAAGAGCTTCCATTTCTTCATCTTTGACATTAGTAGTAGTGCATACATTTGAAAAAATAGTTATATTAACTAGTTTTGCATGTACACATATGACTTTCACTAACAGCATTGAACTTCAGGATGTATATTGCAATGTTCTTTTTAACAGTGACTCCAACACAGTTCTTCTTCAGTTTGTTATTTGTAGCATAGTAGACCATATGATTGTCTAACTCAACATTCCAATACCAAGCCACTTAGCTCACTCATCTCGTAATCAGTCTTTGTCCATTCAATTTCAAACTTCCATTTTTCCCAGATTCAAGCTCTGTACATTCCACATTTTTATTAGTAGTAGATGCCTGTAACATTTTATTCTCATTTTGCATCACTGCAACAGCAAATGAATGTCCCAAAGCTTTACTCCATCTACACCATTAAATTGACTCAGCTTTGAGGAGGCAGCAATTTTGCAGCCAATATGTTGGTTCCTTTTAACCTGAGGGCCCATATTCTGGTACCACATCAAACAATGTTCTGTTGCTATCTGTACGATTTTCACTGGCCAATTTCTTTCAAAGGGGATCACCAGGCCCTTCTTCCAAGTCAGTCTTGAAAATGCTGTGGAAGCCTCTTCATCAGGGTGACCGCATTGGTGTGTGAAGTACGGGTAGCATAGCCTCGAGCATCACAGCCACATGCCAGCCACAGCAGTATGGCAGACTTACAAGAAGTGAGGACACTCACAGGCAAGGCCAATCTCTGGGCCACTTTTAGAAATCTATAAGTAGAACGTGAATTACAAGTACTACTTCAATGCAGTTCCCCCCACAGGTTCTCAACATATTTTGAACCTAAAAAAACTAGTATTTTTCTATCCATAAAAATGTTAAATCCAGACTTACCTTTATTCAGTTTTAAAATAAAGTCATCATCATCTCAGCATACGTAAGTAAAATGAAAATATGAATCATAATTATAAAAAATGGTAATAATATCTACCCATATGATTATAAGTTAATGTTTGTGTACATACCTTGCAAACTTATAAAGTACTATAGCAAATACTACTTACGACTATTATTTTTAATATTGTGAAGTTGTGCCCTTGACTAGCTCCAACTCTAGCATTAAGAATATATTTATGCTCAGATTTTTATTTTTAATAAGAAGCAGAACTCCTCTTCGCCGTCTTCCCTTGCCCTCTGCTGCCGCAGCCATGAAGGTCAAGCTGTGCAGCTTCAGCGGGTACAAGATTTACCCCGGGCACGGGCGGCGCTACACCAGGACCAATGGAAAGGTTTTCCAGTTCCTTAATGCAAAATGTGAGTCGGCATTCCTTTCCAAGAGGAGCCCTTGGCGGATAAACTGGACTGTTCTCTACAGGAGGAAGCACAAGAAGGGACAATCGGAAGAAATTCAAAAGAAAAGAACCCGCCGTGCAGTCAAATTCCAGAGGGCCATCACTGGTGCATCTCTTGCTGATATAATGGCCAAGAGGAATCAGAAACCTGAGGTTAGAAAGGCCCAACGAGAGCAGGCCATCAGGGCTGCCAAGGAAGCAAAAAAGGCAAAGCAGGCTTCTAAAAATACAGCAATAACCACTACTAAGGCCCCCACAAAGGCAGCACCGAAGCAAAAGATTGTGAAGCCCGTGAAAGTGTCCGCTCCCCGGGTTGGTGGAAAACGCTAAGTTGGCAGCTGAGACTTTCTAATAAAGATGCAACTATTAAAAAAGAAGAAGAAGAAGCAGAATCGTGTGGCTTGAAAGATGTCCAAAACAGAAGGCAGGAACTCTGAGTGAGGGAATTCTGCACCTACCATTCATCAGTCTTGTGACTCGGCCAAGTCACTTGACCTTTCTGAGCCTCAGATTGCTCATCCACAAGTGAAACAAGGGAAGTACTAAGGTCTTTAAGGCACTTTCTCACCTGGGCGATCTGGGGCTTGTTCAGTATGGCCTATGAAGACAGACTCCCACATGGATTCACGTTTTTCTCATCGCAGTGTTGCACTTTTTAGAAAGGAACCAGAGGCCTTGGGAAGTAACCAAAATACAGTATATAATGAAGATCAACCTGCTGAGAAAATTGATCCAGAAAAAAATAACTATTTGGCAGAGAGAAGTCCCTACTTCACTAAAATATACACAAGTTTCACAAAGCCAATTTACTGCAATTTTAATTTAATGAGAAAATATTCAGGTTCCTCAAGTACATGAAGAAAATGTCAAGATGGTTTACTTTCCTTTTCTACCTATAGACAGAGTCAAACCATACCTCTTATCCTCCCTTAAGGAGTCCCAGAGGGTGGCGTTCTCTGTTGATGTAGAGAGTCAATAAGTCAGTAAAGTCCCAAGTAAATGGCAGGAGACATGCCCAGATTGGGTTTTTGTATTCGTATTTTATAAACATTTCAAGACTTTTTCCCTAGCACCTTTGACCTTTTGTCCTTCTTAAAATGAAGATCTTCTATCTTGGAAACTTGGTTAGAAACCACACAGGGTCATTTCATACAGCCTCTTTTTGTGTGTGGCTCCGTGGCTCAGCAACACATCTAGTAGTTAAGCATGCACTTTCCAAAGGCAGATTACCTTGATTCAAATCTGTGTTCTGCCCTTAATAACTGTGCAAGTCACTTAATCTTCTCCATAACTATTTTTTCATTTGTAAAATGGTGGTACTTATACCCGCCTCAGAAAGCTATTATGAAGCTTAATGTATTTTTTAAGTATAAAATGTTTATACTTAAATAAGTCCTAAATGCCTGGTACAAAGTAAATGTTCAATAAATGACAGTTGATACTCTGGTGACACAGTGGTTATATGTTGGGCTGCTGACTTGACAGTCAGCAGTTCAAAACCACCAGCCACTCCATGGGAAAAAGATGAGGTTTCTACTCCCATAAAGAGTTACAGTCTCCAAAACCTACAGAGGCAGCTCTACTCTACCCTATTTTATAGAGTTGCCCTCAGTCTGATGGCAGTGAGCTGAGTGACAGTAGAAGACCCCTACATGGCACAGTTCGCACTCAGTTGCTAGCCTAAAGGTTGTCCGATGATCTGACAGCAACAACAGCAGGGACCATATAGATTTCACTCACCCTCATGTCTCCAAGGCAGCCTGTCAGGCATATTGGCCAGGAGCATACTGGTTATTAGGTGTTTTGGCGTCAGACAGAGTTAACTTGAAATCTTATTCTCTCTCAGCCATGGGCATGATAACCCATGAAATCTTTGTAAAACAGTAACAATAATACCTACTGTGCTGGGCTAATACAAGGTCTATTTACAAGAGTAGCTTTGGGCAGTTCTCCAGTTATGAATGAGGTTTATTCCTAATGTGTCATGAAATTGAAACAGGTACATGGGGCTCTTATTTAACCCTATTTCAGTGCAAGAAAAGGCTTGAAGCCTTTTCAGTGAATTAAAGGTTGCACGTGCAGCGAGTGAAACGATTGTAGGATAGTGTTTGTTGTGAATAGGAGTTGATTCTCGTTGCACAGGGAGGGCAAATGTATAGACCATTAAAGGACGAGTTCATAAGTTGAAGACTTACTGTATGTAAACGTACTTTTCATGGTCTCAGCTAGGTGGTGGTGGTGGTGGTGGTGTCAGTGATGGTAGTTAGGTGCCATTGAGTCGATCCCATCTCATAGAGACCGTGTGTACAACACTGCCCGGTCCTGTGCCATCCCCACAATTGTTATGTTTCAGCTCATTGTTGCGGCCACTGTATCAATCCATCTTGTCGGAGATCTCTGTGATAGGTCATCAAAAAATGTCAGTTGCTAATATGAGGATGAGGATGGTAGAGAACATGGAGGTAAAGAACAAGAGGAGGAGGCAGAAAGGTGAAGGAAAGAGCAGCAGTCACCATTCTGACAGTGCTGCTGTCTGCTGGAAAGCTCTTTCTAGACAGCCGCATTCTGCATCCCTGCACGTTTACCCACTGGGGCTGACAGAACACACTTGCCTAATCAGTTTTCTGCTAGAACCCTTCATGTGATCAAAGAGAGCTGACAGAGACCCTTCCTGCACCTGTAGCAGTCTCACTACCACCCCTTCCATGTGCCCTCTCTCTGGGTAGACGGGCTCCCCTTCCTTGGCTCTTCCTCAGTGTCTTCGTTTCCTAGTGTGGCTGTAACAGATATACCATGAGTATTTAAAGAATGGGAACTTATTTTCGAGAGTCTCTCTCTCTTTGGCTCTGGGGGGAGACCCTTTGCAACCCTGGTTCCCTGGCAGTCTTCACATGGCATGTCCTCCGCATCTAATTTCTTCTTTTTATTTATTTATTTATTTTTTTTTTTGCAGAGGAAATTGTTTTTTATTGTCCAGATATCTATTATATTTTAACACAAGACTCTTCTTCTTTTTATATCTTAGAGGTTATTCGGTTTGAGATGACACCCTCCTACTGATACGACCCCACTAACAATAAATAAAACTCTTCTCAAATAGAATCGCATCCACAGATAATAGGGTTAGGACTCCCACCTGTGTTGTAGGGGGCTACAGTTCAATACTCAACTCTGAAAGGACACATTCTTCCCCTGTGGCCACCATGTTAGTGAGGAGAAACACGGTGTCCTGCATCTCCCGGGGTCCCCAACAGTCTCTGAGGCAGTTGAGAATGGAAACAGATTGTCCTTGTTCACATGGAAATTCCTGCCTGAACTGTTCAGAGGGAAAAAATGCCTGTGATCTAGAGCACCGGGAGCAGCCCCAGCAGTACCGTGTTAGCTTTGACGAAGTCTCCTAAGTGATAGAAAGGGGGTTATCCACCACAGGAAAGGGGAGCACTCTTGCTGGCCGGGGTGGGGCTGGAGGGGCAGAAACCAAAAAGTTTGTTGCAAACCTGGGCCCAGGGCTTCAAGGAAGGAGCCTCAGCTTTGCAGTTGCACAGGACAGAACCACGGCTCCAGCCAGGAATGGCTTCCCCGCCGAGCCTAGCTGATGCAGGCACTGGGCCTCGCTAATGTTATTCTGTTGAACCATCATCACAGCAACCCATCAAGGAGAGGCTATGAGTATTCTCGTCTTACAGGTGAGAACATGCAGACGTTCAGGTTATAGGTAGGCAGTAAGTGACAGAGCTGAGATTTAAATCTAGGTTTGTGTTACTCTCTAACCATTATGCTGTGACCTCAACAAAGTGTCTGAACCTCAGAGTAATTTAGCACCTCCGTTTTCATATCGCCCCCTAGCTTGCATGGCTGTTGGGAAGGTTTAAATGAGGAGGCATATTTAAAGTGCCTGGTGTGTAATAGGTGTTCAATAGATTTTCATTTCTTCTGGCCCAAGTCCCAGCTTTCCCACGGAAAGCAACTGAGCAAGCCACTGTGCCTCTCCTCCCATGAATGCTGGGTGTGTTCTTCGAGCCTGTAACATTGCATGTTCACACTGCCAGCAAGGTGGAACTCAGGCCTAGTGTGTCCACCCCCACCCTCTTGTGCTTCCTAGCACATCCTCTGGCTGGTCTTCACAGCTCTGAAACTTTTAAGGTTTCCTTCGTACCAGCAACATCATATTTAAAACCATAAATAACAAAGTAGAAAATGCAGGAAGAGCTCTGGCATGTTAATTAAGAACCATAGCAGAAGCAGCTAGACAGAAAATTCCAGCAATTCAGTTTGTTGGTAGAGCCAGCGCAATATTGTGCAGTAATTGGGGCAGTGGGCAAACATTTGCCAGCAGCTTGCCCCCCAGTGCATTGCAAGACAGACAGTAGACTGGGCCCTCCCACCGCCTTGCCTGCCCATCTGCCCATAGCCCAGGAACTAGCAGTAGACCAGGCTTCACTCTGGGTTTCTTACAAGCAGAGGGGATTCTGAAGGTGGATGTGTGCCTTAATGACCCTCCTGGGCATACTGGGTTTCTCTCTGGAGACAGTCAGAGGATAGTGTTCCTCCTTCAGTTTGCCAGCCTGACCACGGCACTCGGCTTCTGAGGCCTTGCCCCCCAGGGGCCACCCCCGCTAGTAGAAGACAGTGCAGCTATCTCATTAGGGTACGGCTTGGGTTGAGCAGAAGACAAGGCCACCTGCCTCGGATGCTGAGCCCCTACAGGTAGCAGAGCAGCAGCCTCAGGCCCACCTGGAGGTCCCTCGGGCCCTCACCACCTTTGGAGCTGCCCAGCCTTACAGCCGCTCCCACACACAGCGGCCCTCCTTGAATACTTGCTCTGTGCCAGACACTGTGCTAATTATATATCTTTTCTCATCTAATCCTCACATCAACTCTGCAGGCTGGGTACTAGCTCCAAAGCCATACGCTAACAGCTGACACGGCTGTGATCTAAACCAGAGTCTTTTTTATTCCAAGCTCATGTCCTTTGCACTAAACCAGTGTTTCTGAACGTTTTTAAATTCATAACCCCTTTTGGTAACTGGAAGGTTATCTTTCTCTCACTCTCAGATTCAAGCCATCCCTGCCCCGGCCTGTAAGCACATCAGCCTGATTAGCCTAGCCCATTACACCTCAATGTTTGTCTAGCTGTATCTTCAGTAGTTCATGTTATAAAACAATGATTTTTGCTTTAATTTTCTAAATAACTTGTAATTTGATGTTGACCCGTTCTTGTTGTTCCAGTGACGTATTATGTCCAGTAGGACATTGTGATTGGCCTCCCACCGGCGCCGTCTTCGCATTCCTCAGTCAGGGACTTCATCTTTGGGCACGTTAGAGCGGGCACCCTCCATTTTCCTATGTGTAGATTGGGTGGGAAG